CCATTTTTGTGCAATGATGAATGCACGAATCGGGCGTATCGCATTGATAAATGCCCAACGATGATTGGGGCTTGCATAAAAATAATCGAATTTCGCCCAAAACAAAATTGGATTATTTGTCAATTGTTTATGACACTTGTTTGCTTATCGGGGCGCGCTAACGTTGCTGATTTGTTGCGCTACGGTTGGTCGGAAAATCGCAGTTTCGTTCTGCAGGATTTTCATTTTCCTCTCAAAATACACTCAACAGTCTAGTGGGCAACGATGGGGTAATATATGGGAAAAGTCCCTTTATAGTCTAGGAGTTGGTGTTAGCTGGTTGGATTTCGGATTGGGTAACACCAAGGGCGGATCCAATTCTTTATCCAACGATGCCAAACGAATTCTCTGGCTCGAATGGTTCTTGAGAAACTTCGAAAAAAGCTGCGTCATGTTCAAGTGGATTTTGTAAAGCAAAAAAAACCACGCAAAACTAAAACTTCTTGAATTCAAGCATTTTTTGAGAAAACTGCCAACATTTCCTTAACGATGGTTCACTTTTTAAAAGGCCATTTATTTCTGTCTAGAATGATGTACACATGAGCATTCTTGCTCATTTTACCTCCGAAAAATGAGCAAAAATGGGACGGAAAACATGGAATTTTGGCATAAATTTGCACCTGAGTGTCTGATATTCAAATTTCGCATTTTGGATCAAAACTATTCGAATTTCCCCACTCAAGTTGTTACGACTGAATCGACTTTTCAATTCTCTATCCAACGATGCCAAAACGAATTCTGTGGCTCAAACGGTTCTTGAGAAACTTCGAAAAAAGCAGCGTCATGTTCAAGTGGATTTTGCAACTCAAAAAAAACCACTCAAATCTAAAACTTCTTGAATTCAAGCATTTTTTGAGAAAACTGCCTACATTTACTTATCGATGGTTCACTTTCTAAAAAGGCCATTTATTTCTGTCTAGAATGATGTACAAAGGAGCGTTCTTGCTCATTTTGCCTCCGAGAAATGTGCAAAAACGGCACGGGAAACAAGGAATTTTGGCATAATCTTGCACCTAAGTGTCTTATATTCAAATTTCGCTTTCTGGGTCAAAACTACTCGAATTTCCTCACTCATGTTGTTACGACTGAATCGACTTTTCAATTCTCTATCCAACGATG